CGCCCCATCGGGGGCCAGGGTGCCACCCCTGCCCCCCCTAGGGGGGTGCGGGTTGGCAGGAGTGCAGCCCCTCTCTGGCACAGCCCATGTTTGCAGCCACCCTGCCGAAGAGCTGCCCGGCCTCATTAGACCCAACTGCTCCCCCATCGCCCACCCACAGCATGAAGCCCAGGGCTACATGGGATGGGCTAATTCAGCCCCCCTTTCCCCTCTGCTCCGCTCCAGGAGCCCCCAGACTCCTGCGTTAATCCCGGGGGCACAGAAGGTCTGCACTGGCCGGACGGAGGGGGAAGCCGCAGCCGGGGTTCACGGTACCTGGCCATGGGGTACTCACCATCCACACAGGAGGGAGCCGCCCGTGTCGTCCCTGCCACCTGCCCTGGGAAGCAGGAGCATTTCACCGTCTGGGAGCGCTCCTCGATCTTGTTCTTATTGCAGCACCTATGAGCTGCAATGACTTCACACGTGCCGGGCTCCACGTGTACTGTGGGAGGAGAAACAGCCACCGTCACCAATCCCGGACCCCCCACCCTTGGCTCACCAACCCCCGGCAGCACAGTCCTGGCCTCACCCCAGGGCTGCTGCTGACCTCCACATGGCTGGAGCCAGCATCTCCCCAGCCGCCTGTACGGAGAAGCACTGGTCCTGCTCCAGACCTCCCGCGTCTGAGCTCCTACCGACAGCCCTCGCACCCATCCCTCCCACCCAGCAGCATTAATGGCCTCTCACCACGGCCAAGCCAAGAGCTTTATTGAAATAAGGAGCACAACAGCTAATTGCAGCTACTAATGAGATTCACCCTCTGCTACAAAAGGGGATGGTGCATCAGGCTGCTTTTGGCTTCAGAGGACCACCCTCTCTGACCCCAGCTCAACGCTCCTGTCTCACCATCCCCCCACCCTCTGACTGTAGGAGGGAGGTCCAGGATGGCGTTTCCGCACCGCAGTGACACAGAAATGTCACCAGGAATCCGGGCTGCTCTGCTGCTCCCCCTCCCAGTGCCATTAAAATATTAAGAAAGAAAGAAAACTGAGGTGCTGGCTCATCACCTCTGGGATCGGGGTTTAGGAGCTAGTAAGCATTGCCAGTCAGTGACTTGCGCTGGGCGATGGCTCACACCAGCACAATACAAATGAGCCAAACGGGGCTGGATAGACCTCATTCCCATGACCTGGGAGCGGGTGATCCCTGCACTTAATGAGCACGGAGGAGCGAGTGCAGAGCCACGCACTGAGGCAGCCCCTGGGTCACCCGGACAGGCTTAGCCCTGCAGCAAGCAGGGGCCAGGCTGCAAGGAGGATGGGGAAGCGGCGCTCCTGCAGCATGCCATCCCGGAGCCGTGCAGCCGAGCATGCATCGTGCCATCAGAACTGGCTGCTCCGCACCCTCAACTCAGGACCCTGCACCCAGCCCCATCTGCACCCCTGGGGTGCGAACAGCGACCATGCAGGAGCCCTGGGCAGGGGCTGGAGGAAAGGCTCGGTGACACGTAGGTACCCGCAGGCACAAGCCCATGTCCAGCCCTCTCCCAGGACACGGCTCCGGCAATCCAGCCCTCTCCCAGCACACGGCTCCGGCAGTCATGCCAATGCCAGCTGTGTTTGCCAGCCTGCCCTCGCCATCCTGCCCATCCAGCTCTGCCTCACTCCCAGCCACTACCGGAAGGGTCCTGCTGGAGGGTCCTCTCCCCCGAAGCGATGCCCAGGGAGTTTGTGCCGCAGGTTTGTGCTGGTGTCCCCTGCCCACGAAGGGGACTGTGTCACAACCTGTGTCATGGTGAGCATTCCCGTGGGTCCCCGGGGAGGGGGAGCATGTAGCCATGCTCACCAGCCAACACCGCCTGCCTTCCAGCAGCTTTTGGAGAGCAGCCACGGCCCCTTCTCAAATGAAAGCTCAGGGAATTGGGATCTCTCCCCAGGCTCCGGGGAAACCCCTCTGCCTTGCAGCAGCACTTCCACATCCCTGCTGGGAAACACTGATCCAAGTGCAACCTCCTGGCTTCTGCCAGGCAGGCACCTACGTGCCAGCTTCCAGCCAAAGCAGTCCTTGCCCCCTCCTGCCCCCCCACATCCCAGCACCAGCCGGGAGATGCGATGCGGGGAGCCACGCACCCCTGTGCCCTGCACCCCCCGGCACATGGGCAGGACGGGCTGTGCAATTACCGTGGCTTTAATTTGGCTTTATTTATTGTTATTTCATGGTCATTTTCTTCTAATGAACCGTTGCTTTCATTTCTGCCCATAATAATTACACAATTACCTATCCTGGAAGTATTCTGTAATAGCATCTCTGGCCATAAATTTTATCCTCCCTTTTAACTGCCATCATAATTCAGCTTTAACGATAATTTCCATTCTTTTTGTATGCAGAAATGGTAGACTTTGGTCAAAGTGAGAAGAAAAACGACTCATTACAGAACAAATGTGACTGTTTTGTCCTGGGTTTACGGTTAATGGGATTTTCCGAGCAAACTGAGGAATAAGCAGAGGCCCTTGGCTTTGGCTGACCATGCACCCACATTCCTGCCACACTCCGGTCCAGGTCCACGAGGAGTCACTCATCCACCCTGCGCACCCCCAGCCCCCCCAACCCCTCTGGGGATTTTTCTACCCTCCAACTGCAGCGCTCACCCACAGTCGTGGTTTTGACTCGTTTTCACAAAAGCCTTCCCACAAAGCTTCGGTAGCGGAGCTCTTCCCAGGAGGAAGGGCCAGGCGACCCCTCTTCTCCCCCCTCACTTCTGCTCCCCAGCCTCTCATTTTCAGCTAATTTAAAGAGGTTCAGCA